CTTAACAAAACGGTTTTCTGTTAAAGTTGTTTAGAACACGACACTTATAATAACGCACTAAAATCACCAACTGATTTACAATATTGTTACAATGCTTTTTTTCATATTAAATTTCGACTGCTCTCCAGGAAAAGCATTTCAATTACTTAAATCCAAGCTGTTGATCTTCTTACTGATTGTTTCAAAAGTTGATGATGTCGTAAGGAGTTCCAGGTCTGAGCTCTTGGCGAACGGGTTGTGTTAGGCAATGCTATGGACTCGGAGATTAAAAAATAATGTATTATTAAGATCTGCCCAAATGATTGCTCGACATCGGCCACGCTGCCCAATTTTGGCAGTGACACGCAGCGGTGTAATTGCGCGGCAACTCTATCTCTGGCGTGGCTGCTGGCCTATACTCTACGAAGGTATGTTCAGAGGAAACTCGCCTTCTACGATGACTTGTACCTTACTCACGAAACTGTCGTATGCTTTCGGGTAGCGTCTGTATAAACTACAAGATCGTACCTGGCGTGGTTACATGGGAACTACGCGATGCATTGCTATAGGGCTCTATTTGATAGTTTGTGAATGTAACCCATATGTTTTTTATTTAGAACTTTTAACCCTCTCAAATTGCTATTGCTAACCTCATTTTAGGAACTTGATGAAGCATAGTGACAATTGTTGTAAGAACAGCTAATACCTTCTGTCGCATCTGCAAAATATTTGCTAAGACAAGACTTCTTGCGCTACCAAATCTTAGAGCAAAGTCTACGTTTAATTTTAGAGCCCAAAGCCGACTTATGGTCTGATGATGTAAATCGTCGCATAGCCTGTGCCATTGAGAACGGACGCCGAAAAGGGCTTTTCGTGGACAGAGATCGAATTGTGGTGGTTGCCGGGTGGAAAGGCGAACCCGGGTCGACTAATACCATCCGCATAATTCAACTTGGTTCACTCGTTGAGCACAATATTCTTGGGATACCCGACATTAAGAATTACAAGGACTAAATACCATAGTTAAACAAAAAGTAATTCTTACAAAAGTTCATCTAAAGTTTGCCTCCGAGTATGTAATGTTTAAAATGAGACTTCCTGTTTTGACGTGAATGTACTATTTTGTAGCATCATTCAAAATTATATCAGCCTCATCCAGTTATCTTAGAAAACAAAAAAACTGCATATGTAACACAGTCGGCAGTTTAATGCTCAACGAAATTGTCGCTCACAGGAAAAATATACACCCTTCGAGCTATACAACGTAGCCCCAAGTTGTTGTTACACAATGGCTGCCCTCTTAATTTGAATACTTGAGGGGC